AAAATACCTGTTGTTTTGATTAAGAAGGTTTCCCAAAGACAACAGCCCCAGACTAAGTCCTAAACTGTTGCCTATTTTATCACTTTTGACAAAAGATTTACTATTTGTCAACAGAAATGTTATGAAAAGACATAACACTGACAATTGAAACGAGCTTTTCATGTTTACTGCATATAATAAAAATTCAACCAGATAACAAACGATTGATTTGTCAAAACTATAAAAATTATTGTCTTTATATATGTCCAGGAATATCTCAAAGTTTTCATTACATTTATTTGTGAGTAAATTCTGAGTGATTTACACTAATTATAGAAAACTTGATGACTCTGTCCTACTCTACTCTACTCTACTCTTTTCATTTAATAGCAAATTCTTGAGATTTCATTTAATCACTACTTCTTACTGTTCGCTCACTTATTGCTGTAATTATAAGAAGCAAATGATCTATTGTTTCAATCAAATCATTAGTGAAACTATATTTTGTGATAAAATATTTTTGGTTAAAGTTTATATCAATAATTATATCGTAAAACTCCCAAATTGACTTTTGTTTGCACTATTTTAAGGATTTTTAAAAAGGATTTAAGGATTTGTTGACTCCGAATGATTTTATTTTCAGACTTTCATTTGATGAATGTTTAAATTTTTGAAAATCTATTGAGTAATAAAATTTTACTACTTTAATGCACTTACCGTATGATTAACTGGATTCTTAACAAATTATTATATGATTTATATTTACTTTTTTAGTTCAAAACTAGTAATAAATCTAATTATTAATACAAACCTTACTAATAAAGAGTTAAATAACTACTTAATCCAGAAAATAGTAAGAAATCATTGAACTTTGTTTACATAATAGGAGTTACGGCTAAACTCATACGTCTCGAGACTTGAGGATTTGAGCCCTGAAATGAGGAAAAAAGTGAGAACTTTAGCGATGATTGAGTTGTCAACAGTTCTCGACATGTATGGACTCGAGTTTGAAAAGACTAAGTCTAAGAAATCCAAGAAAAGGATAAAAAGTAAAATTTATGAAACTTTCTTCTGATAACTAAACTAATCGTAAGAATGGTTTTACAGAGAACTCAGAGAATGTGTTATTCGGAGTCCCTTTGGAGCAGATATACGGCACAGATCTCAGACGTGACAGCGGATCCACTCTGCCATCCATATTGAAAATCGTAATAACCTTTATAAACAAGTTTTTGGTCACAAATACATTACTCTTATTTATTTAACAGTTATTTAATTACATCCGAATGAATGGTCTTCACGAGGAGGGGATCTTCCGAATCAATGGGTCCCAGAATAGAGTACTGGTCCGTCACTTAACCATCTATTTGTATAATATTCATACCCTTATTGACACATGTATTCAATTTAGGTCCTCAAACAAGAGTTGGAGCGACTCTTCCACTTGTATTACACCAATGGTTACAAAGAG